AGGTCAATATACGAAAGATATAAAAATATTTTATTGTTTTTATTTTTGTGTTGTTAATTTCCAATACATATTATTCCGAAACCTTCTCGTTGACGCCTTTATTAAATCGGCGTCTATGGTGAGGGCCACATTGGCCATACCATACTTACGGCTCTGTATAGAGTTAAGAAATTATAGTTATTTATATGAATATGAAAGATAGATAACTCGTAATTTGATTTTTTCGAGTTAGATGTGAGCTGGAAATTTTTTATTCTTTAATTTAACGTACAGAACATGGCCGTAAGTTTGAATTTCAGTTTGTGTTCGGTTTTAAACATTCATGAATTATTGTCTGACTCTTCCTTATACATTCTGTTAAATAAACATACTCGGATCTATAATATGATTTTAATGTATTTTATTGGATGAATAAGAGATTTTTTCTCGATTATGTGGTAATTCTACAGGATAATTGCTATCTGAATATTTGTTATATAAGTTATACTATTTTGTCTTTTCCATTTGATTTAGATACTAACAACAGAAGTATATTGTGTCCTTGTCTAAATTATCGATTTATGCAATATAAGTTGTTGGCAGTTGAATGTCTCGTACTTTTGAGCAGCAAGTTCATTTTGTTTTAGGCGATTATTTAATAACTTAGTAGTATTTTTAAAGTTTAAGTTCTTCTTAATATAAAGTTTATTTTAAAAATAGTAACATCATTTTGATGAAAAAAAATTTTATACTTTAAAATATCATTATATTTGTGGCCATGTGTAGGATAACATTAGAACTGTTTCTGGATAATTTCTGGCGGCATTTTCTGGTTTATTACAGTGTTTACCAATAGTAGTTTTAAGCCGAGTTGGTCGAACTGTGCAGTTAGCCACGAGTACAGAATGATGGCATTATAATTGCCTTATGTATGTTTATATGCCTATATAATCTCGGTATTGTTTGGTAAGAAAGGTGGGATTGTAGTAGGGTTATATCAGTTCTTATGCTTTTTCTCTGCTTTGCTAGTGAGCTGTGATCGGTGTTCGTTGAATGACAAGCGAGTGTCTGCCATTTATTTCAGAAACGATAATGTTTATTTGCAATTTACTTTGCTAATTATTTCAAATCAAATTATTTGTAATGACAGATATACAATAAATCACCAAACTATCGCCTTAATATCAGGTTATAATATGGCTAATTAAATGATTAGTATAAAGTAATTTGACATTAGAGGTAGACGTTAGGCCGATATTAAGACGATCATTTGGTGATTTATTGTATATTTCTCGGGCTTTCAGTTGTTATTATTTATATATGACAGATATATACAAAAGCATAAATCGAATGATTTATCACAAAACTACCGTACAGCATTGTTATATAGGGGATGAATTAGTAAAAATATCAGTTAAGTAAGTGTGTGTATATATATATATATATATATATATATATATACGGGTCCATTCAAATATGATGTAATCAATTTTAAGCCCATTTTAAACTAGCTGTTTCCTTCTGTCATCAATTTTTAGACATGTCTATTCTAACCTTATACTTGAATGTCATCAGGGATTGATCATAAAATAAAGTATTTCTATCAAAGACTTACAGCAGATTTATTCATTTTTTTCCCTGCCAACGCAAAGATTATTTTAAAAATATTCCAATAAATAAAGAAATTTAACTGATTTACCATAGAAGAATCTAACAACATACGATAGGTAACTCCTAAATTTGATGCATTATTACATTATATACAGATATAAGTTTCAGCAATATCTTTATCTGTATAGGTTAAATTGTTGTCATTATCTTTTCATATTGAAGCACCCGTGGAAGGTTAGTAGTAGCCTCAAACCCTTCTTTCTTATTTAACTTTATGACGACATGCTCGAGACATGACATGAGCAAGGAGATAGAGGTCATCTCGTAGGCGCTGGCCTCTCTGCTAGGTAAGACCGACAACCGCTGTCAAGAGACAGTAGGTTCTGCCATTCAGCACTTTTTTCAAAAGATGACCTCTTTAGTGCTGAGACGAGTGACTTCTGTGCAGAGAGCTCTAAGTTTACAGAGTCCTGAGAGAAAGAAAGATGGTCCAAGTCTCAGTCCAATCCCAGTCGAGCAGAGACCAAAAGTCTCGTAACTGTTAAAAATGTGAAATATTGAAATGTTGCGAGTGGATTCCCAAAACCAAAATGGAAGACTACTCTACCATTGACAGAGGACATTCTCCTAGTGTACCTCAGTAGAGTAGCGACGCGGTTTTTCTATGACTGCATAGAAAAATAATATCAGCCCTGCCAAGTTAAAGTAGAGGTGAAAAACATCTGTTGGATAAGGAGAAATGGAGTCCTTATTGAGGTTGCATCCCAAAGGGACATCTAAGAATTTCAAAAGGAATTGACAAAAAGTAAGGCACTGAAGGTTGTTTGTCGACTGCCAAAGAAGCGATGTCCTGGTGTTACAATTTACGATGATCAAGAGGATAGACAAACTAGCGGAGGACATCTCTGCCCAAACAACTTGAGCATGAAGGCTGACGGCCTCAAGCCCAAGTTTTCTTTCAAAGGGAAAGGGAAAATCACTTATGGCTGCTGCTATTTTCGTTGTGTATTTGTCTCTTTAATCCGATTTTCAGTTCGGTAGACTATCATATACAGCATTCAGGTTATGAACTTCTTTTATTGGTTTGTTATATGCATTTCGGACTCAATTGTAATTTAAGTCCTTCTTCAGTACAAACTCAGATTCTGTTTTCTAAAAACCTCGGTGTATAATTGGCAACGTTGGAAAAGATTAAAAATACAGCCATTTAAAAAACACTTCAACTACATATTCACATTAATACGTTGCACACTTTACAAATGTTCATAAAAACCTTTACAATTACAACTTTTTTAAAGAAAAATTCGTATGCTCTTTATTGAAATGTTGCAGCGATAATGAACGTTTTTTCCGGTTAATAACACGTGGTAATTACTATTAACACACTTAAGAGGATACATTCACACTTTTACAATATATTTCACTTTAGTATTTTTTGTCACCAGACATTACAAACCCTAAAATACTAAAGTGACAAAAAATACTAAAGTGAAATATATTGTAAAAGTGTGAATGTATCCTCTTAAGTGTGTTAATAGTAATTACCACGTGTTATTAACCGGAAAAAACGTTCATTATCGCTGCAACATTTCAATAAAGAGCATACGAATTTTTCTTTAAAAAAGTTGTAATTGTAAAGGTTTTTATGAACATTTGTAAAGTGTGCAACGTATTAATGTGAATATGTAGTTGAAGTGTTTTTTAAATGGCTGTATTTTTAATCTTTTCCAACGTTGCCAATTATACACCGA